TGTACACCGGAGTTCTGGCCAAGTCACCAAATACGGAGAACCAGAAGAAAGCCGCATCTAACCCCCTCTCCCTGCAGACAAAATGGAGGGTTGGCCAACCCCAGACATCCCCCAACCACATCTCCCAAACCCCAAGAATCCCAAATCCACAGGCAGCCACAAATCTTCCGGCCAAACCATGCCCCAAACGGCCCCCAAAGTGCATGCCTGATTTGTGTTTCCTTTGTCCTTGGCGAAGGTTTGGCAGCTTGCAGTCCCAAGGGAAAAATCAAATATATGGTTTAAGGGTACCGCTTTACACGGTTTTTCACGGGACACCAGCAGGAAAACCGGGAAAAAACCAAGGAGCCTTGTCTGTGTTAAGCAGCCGGTGGTCACTGCAGTGCCAAGGTACCCAAATAGAACTTGCATGGATCTTATTTCCAGACAAAAAACACCCTCTTTTCACCTCTGCCCCGCTCGTGGCATCTGACCGAGTTGACCACCCCATGCTCCACATCTAAACAAAGATCAGGTTCTCTTTCCATCCCTCAAACTGAACTGCTATTGGGTTGGATCTTTAGACTTTAACTTTTTGGGAAATCAAGGGGTTTTCCACTAACCCCCCCCCCCCCAAAAAAAAAAGAGTCATTTTTTGCAGGGGGGTCAACAGCAACCAAGAAAAAGGTTCGGGGACCTGGCCCCGTTTTTGGGCCGCTTCTCTCCCGCCGAAGCCGCCTGCAGCGCCAGACCTCAGGCGCGCGCCTTCTGCCGCCCGGGCCTCACGCCGCCCGTCCACGGCACGCACCTCGCGGGCTCCACCTTTTTGGCCATCAAGGCGGCCCACCTGGGCCCCTCGCCGCCTCTGAGGCGCGGGGTTCCGGAAAACCGCGATCTTGGAGGAGATCAATTTTTGTTGGTGGCTCCCAGCCATCCGGTTCAACTTAGCTGTTTAGCCTTTTAGTTTTTAGGGGTGATTTCCATTTAAACCACTAAAAGTTAAGCTTTTAGCGGGGAATCTGAGGGCAGCCCAGCTTTCGAGAAGGGCAGGAGATCAATGGGAATGACCTGAATGGATTGAGCCAAATTCATGGTGGTTGTTGGGCAATATTGGACACATTTTTGCTATGTGTGGTTTGCTGGGGACATCCCTACTTAACTGCTGAAATTCGATTTTTTGCTCCCCTTCCAATGTCAACCAAGTAAAGGAATCCCTGTGGTTTCCTTTCAGGGAATCCCCATAAACTCTCTTGTGGTTTCCTTCATGGCAAACCCGTTCATTCCCAACACCCGGACTCGGTCATTGGGGCCAAGTGGCGTTCGTTGATGTTGGGTGGCTCGTCTCTTAGGTTGACTCATTCCCATGGATTTTTGCACGGATTTGTTTTCCTGTATCACAAAAAGGAGTACCTCCAGTATGAATTTCAACAGAGAACCACTTCAAGAATGGACGATGTTCTCAGCATGTCCACCAAAGGGTCCCGAAAAAAGGAATCTCAAGGGCAGAATCAGGTTTGGCCTGTACGAAAACGATGCTGCATGGTCCTAGGTTTATGGTTGCTCGCGGTCAGGGCTAAAATGGGCGTAGAAGTAAGCGTGAGGCCTCTCCACATTGCATACGGTCAGCCGGGGTACAAAAAATTGCAGGGGCTAAAGTGGCCAAAGTGGCCGGAAAAGCGCTTTAGCGTATGGCTTCTCCGCATTGCCCGGCGGTGACGAAGCGAGATGGCATCTCTTGCCCTCTGTGACCGGTTGCAAGGGGCCGAAACACGGCCTCGACGGAACCCTTCTGGAAATCAATAGCTTGTGTTTGGTTCTGGTTCCTATTGGAGCAAAGTCTTAACCGCCGTGGAATTTGTGGAGCCCCGGCTTGGGAATTCCTGGGAAACAAAAGGGCAACACCCCGGACACAGAGTTGCACCCAGTGAGTACAGCTTTTTTTGTTTGTTTGCGGGGGTCTGGGTTGTTGGCCGTCAATGAGAAAATCTCTATAAGGCCGTCCCGCGTCTTTTTGTATGTACCGAGCGACTGGGCTTTCTGTGGAGCATGGCGCTGCGCCCCGTTCTTTTTTTGGATACACGGGAGCTCCTGCGGTTCCTTCGGGGGACTTCAGAAGCTCCCGTGGGCAAATGGATTTTCCAAAAAAAAGCGCCACGCAACGTGGCTTAAACGTTCTTGGATTGGTCTTGTGATAGCTTCCCTGTTTTCAAGACCCAAAAGATGGGTAAAAACTCCTTTGCCCCTAGAATTTCCGCGCCCAAACGCAAGCACACGCATCGGTTTTGGGGACCGCCCGGTTGGCGCCTGCCAGGAGCTCCGCGCGGTGCGGCTCGGCGCCCTTGGCCTTTGCCTTCTCCCAGACGGGCAGCTTGCCTCTGCGCCTGGGCTGCCGATATTTTTTGCGAAGAGAAGCCATCCGCCAAAAGGGCCCCTGGAAATTATTTTTTTATATGGCGGAACCGTGAGTTCTTTTTGCATTTTGAGGCACACTCATTTTGGTTGGGTGACCAAGGATTTTTGGGTACCTGACGTGGTTGCTGGCTGTACAGTTGGGATTGGGCTTTCCCCATTCTTAGCGTGCCCAGCCCAGCCCCTTAGACCAATAGCTTTTCCAGAAAAAGTTCGAGCTCTCTACAGGGATGGTCGTGAGCCAGCCAATGTAGACAAGCATTGTAAAGGCTCCTAAGAGAACCATGGCCCGCACTGATTCAGAGCCAACTCGGAGGGGGGCTATGAGTGTCTTGTGTTGTTTTGGCGTCATTAAGCACCTGGCTCTGAATCAGTGGAGGGGTTAAGAGGGAAGAGGGGAAGGAGGGAAGGGGCAACAAAAAGCGCTTGCTTTTTCCTTCACATGGTTCAAGATTCAGGGGGAGACAACGTAGATTGAGCAGAATGGTAACCGTGGGAACTCTGGAACGGGGTGCAAATTCAACCCTTCTCAAACCCCCAGCCAGATTAGTAAACTTTGAGATGGATTTCAGGAGAGAGCCTTAAGTGGATTTCATGGGTGGTTTGGGTTGGTGGTGTGGATTTTCGAATTTGAGCCCCTGGTTTTTGTAGAGGGTGCATGGGGGGTTCCCTTCCTTGCCCACCAAATCCCCGGGGCGCTTGGAGTCACGAGCTGTGCACATTGAAGCATGCAGTCTGGCAAATAAAGTCACGACCTCAAAGGGAAGAGTCCTGTTATACCTGACTTTGCTTTCCAGGTTGGTGGCTTGTGCTTCACACATAAGTTTCTATACGTAGTCTAGGGGAGCTGAGATGTGCGACGCATCCCCAAAGAACTTTCAGCTTTTGGCTGGGGATCAAGCACTCAGCAGGGCCCTCTGGACGGGCTGGTTGAGCCGTGACTAAGAAAGGAGAAGTGTTTTTCACCACGAATAGCCGGGCTGCTCGAAACAAGCCGAGTAAAACAGGTGGGTATTGGGAGTGGGGTAGGGCAACAAGCAGGGTATGCATGTTGACAAGACTCCCGAAAGGAAGATCCGGGTGTGTCTACGGCTCCCCCCCAATTTTGAAAAGGGAAGCAAGGATGCCTTTTCTGGGGAGGTCCCCTTTTGAGACAAACCCCAACCTTCAAAGGAAAGCCAAAGCACATGTTTCGCTTTTCTCTTTTGGGATTATTTCCTTTTTCCGGCTGCGCGCGCCGAGCGTTTTTTTTCGAATGAAAAGAAAGAGACGGGCCCAAGGCCCCGGAGTCGCGCGTGACCGGAGTCCACGACCTCCGCCTGCGGCACTCTGAAGGGCACCGTGCCCTCGCTCAGCGGCTTAGCGCCCCTCACCACGCTCAGCGTCATAGGCGCGGATCGGAGGTCGAAGCCACAACTGCCCCGGCACAAGTCTCCAAGACACACTTTTTGGGTTGGTGTATGGTGAAAAGCTGCTTTTTCGCTAGCGAATGGTGATACATCCTTTCATTGGCCGCATGTATACCATAAACAAGTGGGCATGTAGAGTAATGAGGGGGTGGGTGTTTCTCAACAAAAGGGGCCCTTATGTTTTCGGTGGATTCCTGTCATTGGTTCACTTTCAACAACATCCAAAGGGGTGTCCGCCATTTTTGAGAAACACACATGGCTTTGCTTCCTCGAAATGAGAACGAAACCCATGAAGGCCTTGCGGTTCCCTGTTTTCCGGCTCATGGTCCAGCTTGCTCCCAGCCATCCCAATCGGCTTGTTGGTCTCTTGGTTTTAGTGAGGGAAAGCTCAACTTTTCGCAGATCTGACCACGGGCCCAGTCAAGTTTGCCTGAACTCCCTGACCGTGTCTACAAGGCTTCAGCAGGAATCCGTCTTTGGATGAAATTCATGCACTAGCTTCCATGTGCTGAAGAATATGTGCTATTTTCCCCTGTTGGTTTCAAAAAAAACATCTATCACTACTGGACATTTTTTTTGTTGCCCAGCGGGCTTAAGGAAATGGAAGCTCGGCACGGATGAAGCCCTACGATTTGCACCACCCATCTACCCATCTGATGCCCGTCTCCGCGTGGGCATTGGAGCTAGTGCGAAACATCCGTGGATAAAAGGGGGGCCATCGGGAGGGGGCTATCCCTTGTATCCACCCCTTCAATATATTAAGGGCTTACCCTCAGCTTCTCCAGGGACCCCCGCCCCTCATACCCCCCGCCCCCTCCCAGGACTCCCACAAAGGCTTCCCCTCCCAGACGTCCAGGCCATCCGCCTTTCTCCCGGGGCCCAAGGCTCTGGGTGAATTATAACGACCTCACACGACCGAATTCACCCGAAATGGTGGCTTAGGTGGGGAATAGCCCCCACCTTATTTCAGGTTGGTGAAATATGGGCATGGGTCAGAATTAAACCACCAGGGGACCCGCAGGTCTTAGTCTACTTTTCCATTTGCCAGGGCAAGCCATTTTGGGGTTACCCTATTTTTTGACCCACAGCCACAAAAACTCACCCAGAAGAAATATGACTCGCCCAGAAGGCTCAGGCTTCTCCAGGCACTTGTGCCCCCCGGTCCCAAAGCTCCAAGACACAGCCAGAGCGTTGCCAGGCCACATGCATCTCGGCAGCTTTTCGCCGGTGCGCAGCACTGCGCGCTTGGGCTCCGCGACCTTTCTGGTGGGCGCAAACCGCGCGGGGCCCCGGCGTCCAAAGCGGAGCGGACCCCCCGCAGATTCACTTGTTTTTTGTTTTTCTTTCTGTTTTCGGTGTTGTTCATTTTGTTTTGTGTGTGTGTGTGTGAGTTATGGACCCCGAGAAGGTGGGAGACCACCTTTGATGTTTGGGACCAGCACTGGGGTCTGCTCCAAAACTACGTCTTATTGTAGACTGGATATGGAACAGAGTCAGACAATGTTTTGTTTTTCCATGGGGCCAGAGTTCTCAGGGGTGTCTTTCAATAAAGGCATATCCAAACAGAAGCAAGGGACCGGACCGAATGGGAAGGGGATTTTTGTCATCAGGGGTCGACAGGAAGGCCTTTTTTTTTTGTTTGCGGCGTTTCTCATCCCCAAGCTTGTTTTAAGCGGTCTGGCCCACTAACCATGTCTTGACTGCTATTGGGTTGGATCTTTAGACTTTAGCTGTTTGTGAAGTCAAGGGGTTTTCCACTAAGCCCACAAAAAGTTAAGCTTTTTGCAGAGGGTTCAACAGCAACCAACATGTTAAACCCTAGTTTCATGGGGGCTGGGGGGGAGGGAGGGAGGGGGAGGGAGCCCAAATATGATAGTTAGTGTTCCCTGTGTTGAAAGGATGAACCGTGAGGGAAGACTCATTTAGGAGCGAAAAGTTCCACATGGAGGCCTTAGGATCCAATTGTGAGGTCGAATTGCACCATCTGTGGGATGTACCCGGATCCTTGGAAGTTCATAGCCAGAAGATTCTGGAGGCCCCTTGGAATCAGTTCTCGGGGTTAATTCCCCATTCTGTTTATCTCTCATTCTCTTCAATCAGCAGATCAAAGGGTCGAAGGCAGGAACTATTTGGAATGTTCCCATTCGTTTAGCCTAATTCCCCAGACAGGTGAGGGATGGTCGGGTCCTGGATTGAACACCCAAACGTATCTACATACTATCTTCACTCCTTCTGTTGCCCCTAAGTGCTGATCTTCTAAGGAGCTTATTTTGAAAAAGTCAATAAACATTGAAGGACCAATATCAAAGGGATTGATAGAAAAGATGCTGTAATGAACAAGTGGTTTTCCTTTTGGAATCCCTTTCGCTCAAACTGAAAAGGACATCCTTGAACAGGCACACACACACACACGAAACTTCAAATACCTGCTTTTGTTCGGTAGAGCCTGATCAATGAAGCACAGTTTTCCATGCTACATTCCCGCCTTTTTCAGTGAGGGGTTAACATGCTACCCCAAAAAGGAGAGTATTGGGTGTGGGGGGCTTTATATCTCCTTAAAGCTAGGTACATTGGTAGTTGACGTTTGGCGTCTTGTTTGAATATAAGTCAAGCCCCTTCTGGGCACCTTGGCTAAAAATCGGCATCCAATCAAATATTGGAAGACGTTTCAACTGATACCCTTGGTATCGACCCCATAGTTGCTTCTTCTTTCTTGTATTGTTTGCGACCGTCAAATCGCGTTGTTGTGTTATGTTTTTGTTTTTATTCTTTCCATGAGCAATAGGACGAATGTGAAGAGGATCTGCTCCCCATTACTTAAAACGTCCTTGCCAAGCTACAAGAAACAAACCATGTCCATAGGTCCATCAACAATAATTCTCAGTTGACCAACATGTGAGGCACACATATTTTTGAATAAAGTGTCTCTACTATCTTCCATTGAGCAGTTGTGTGCTCGGATGTGTTTCGGCAGAATGGATGCCCAGAACGGACCATCGTGCCACCTGAAGCGGCATGCCTTGCGCTCCCAGGCTTCGGATCCTGCACGCCGGCGTTCGGCTTCACGCAGACCGGGCCTTCCCCGTTGACCAGGCCGCGCCCAGAGCTTGTCTCGGTTTTTTTTTGGGGCCAGAGGGCTTCAGGTCACCCCGACACCCCGAATTGCCAAGCCGGGCCAATTCGTGGGAAGCTGGGGTCCGGGCCTCAAAAAGTTGAAACTTGAGACTTTTGGGAAGACCTGTTCGGCACAGGAAGTGGGGTGGCTGGAGTTTATGGTACCGACAAACGTGGAGAGAAAGGCGTTTCCAGCGCCAAACCCGTTGACCTTTAGTTTAACGGTTGGTGTATGGGACGAAAAACAGGTGGGGGGGGGGTTGGAAAAATGGCAACCAGGCGCCTTCTTGGACAATCATCGCCTTTTTGTAGGCCAACAACACCCCTTCTGTGAGGGCAAGATCAGTTGACATCCTTTTTCCAGGGTCCTTGGGTGTTCGGCCGGCCAAGCTGGCGTGGTTGCCTGGCTGAATGCACCAACCGGGTCAGCTCCTCTTGGGAACTTGATGATGGCCTAGGTCGGTCTAGCAGCTTCCTAACTTGGCCGAGGAATCAAGTAATGCTGACCGAGATCAATTCCTGGCTGATTTCGAGACGGGGATCCCCCAGTGTGAGGGATTCCATCCTGCGCTTTTGGGGGGAGTTGTCAAGAGGGGAGCTGTTTGTAGTGAACCCCCTAATCCCGGCCTTGTATTTTTCCTACTCTCACAGTCACCCCCGAAGATGTTGAAGGGAACCACCCACACATCCCCCCCAGTAGCTGACCCCAAAACAGGACCAATATACGTTCCCATGTTTCAATACCCACAAAGCTACGGTTTGTCCCCGTTTCTTTTGGGGGGACACTTCACCCCATTCCGCCACAGGAGCTTTGCACGCTCGAGCCCCGCACTGCCGGTGGGGCTCCCAGTCGCGGTGTTTGGTGCGCGCTTCTTTTTGGCGGGGGGCGGGGGTTCGTTCATTAGAGTGCCTGCTTAGACAGGTTGTGGTTTTGGACATGGCTGAGAAGTTGAGCGGAACTTTCGGAAGGCAAAGTTATTCATATTTTTGGGGCAATGCCCCATGTTTAAAGGTAGTTTGGGGGTTGAGGGACATGTTTGAGGGTTCTCCACTGGAACTTGGGCGGGAACCCCTTTGAACCCCGCCCCACCCATTTAGGACGGCACTTGAGTGGACCTTGGGGCTGGTTTTCAACCTTTGGGCCGGGATGTTGGCCTTCGGAGCCAAGGCATCACAAGTAAATGGGAAGGATGACCGCCATTTTCTGCTCCTGAAGGCGTTTCCCTAAGCATGTTGGGGCTTTTTGTTGGTGCACCTGGGGCGGCACCGTTTTAAACACATGGGGCCATCTTTTTGAGAACCCCCACGCCTCCTTGGGCGGTTTGGGACATGTGCAGTACTATCACAAGGCATGCCCCCAAAGACACCAATCGTGCGGGTGATCAATCAGCAGTTGGACTATACAATGCAATGGCAAAATATTTGGCGTTCTCGTTCGAGCTACTTGAGCCACTGGATTTTGGCAGACTCAGTCGGTATTATTTTGTCCCACGAGTCTTGGAGCTCGCAGTGCCTAGGGCCCATTTCGACTGTCTTGTGGTATATTCTTCAGGGCCCGTGGAGGCTCGGAGCTTTTTTCCTCCAGGGCTAGAAGCATCTACAAAGGGGATCCACAGATCTCAATCCCTCCCGCTTTGACTGCGGCTTGTGAGGGGTTGGTTTTCTTGAGTTTGTGACCCGTGTTGGGTCACGTTCAAAATGAAGCCAAATCAAGCACCAAAGCCACATTTCTGGGTCCCACATCCTCAGCCTCCCGCAAAGACACAACAATGAGTCAAGTGCACGTGGCCGTTTTCGGCCTCAGGCCAAGCAGCGTCAACGGCCAAAACCAATATTTTGTACAAACATGGCCAACCAAGGCCGAACATGGCCAACCATGGCCAACCAAGGCCGAACAGGGTCAACCATGGCCAACCATGGCCAATTATGGCCAACCAAGGCCAAGTCAGGTCTAAGTTCGGCGGTATTGGCGTTTCGAGCGCCCAAACCTTCGAGCTCCCGCGCAGGTCTCCCAGTACGCGGACTTCGGGCCCTCGCCTCCGTTGCGCAGCCGGGCGCTCGACGACTCGACGACTCGCGGTTATGGGAAGCCGGGTGGCGGTGAAAGAGACGAACAAACGCCGGCATGTTTTGGGAGGATCCGCATCCAGGTGAAATGGTATGTGGATGAATTCAGGAACCCTGTTAGCCCAGGTTTTAGGACGTTGCTGTTGTTTTTAGGGTGCGTTGGTTGGTTGGTTGGTTGGTTGGTTGGTTGGTTGGTTGGTTGGTTGGTTGGTTGGTTGGTTGGTTGGTTGGTTGGTTGGTTGGTTGGTTGGTTGGTTGGTTGGTTGGCTTGGTTGCTTGTTGCTTGGTTGCTTGGTTGCTTGGTTGCTTGGTTGCTTGGTTGCTTGGTTGCTTGGTTGCTTGGTTGCTTGGTTTGGTTGCTTGGTTGCTTGGTTGCTTGGTTGCTTGGTTGGTTGCTTGGTTGCTTGGTTGCTTGGTTGCTTGGTTGCTTGGTTGCTTGGTTGCTTGGTTGCTTGGTTACCTGCTTGATTGCTTGCTTGCGTGCGTGCGTGCTTGCGTGCGTGCGTGCTTGGTTGCTTGGTTGCTTGGTTGCTTGGTTGCTTGCTTGATTGCTTGCTTGCGTGCGTGCGTGCTTGCGTGCGTGCGTGCTTGGTTGCTTGGTTGCTTGGTTGATTGCTTGCTTGTGCGTGCGTGCGAGCGTGCGTGCGTGCTTGCTTGCTTGGTTGGTTGGTTGGTTGGCTGCAGGTCCGCGTGAGTGTTCACTCTCGGGGGTACACCCGTTGAATACCTGGAGTCTCCTTCTGACCCTTGACAAGATGGGGCATACGCCATACCGTCAAAATGAAGAGCAGCCGACCCCGCATAGTGTAAAGAGTCGAGCCACGGGGAGGATTAGGCGGGGGGATTCATCCGAAGCCAGCCTTTGCTTCCACTACTGGGCCTATCCAAGGACATCCTGTGATTACACCCAGTGCGATATCACACTACACCATTCTGGACATGATTTTGCCTATTCCTAGGGTGCAATGAAACCCTCACCCTTGGATCCCAGTTGCAATCCCCTAACATGGGGAATCTTTGCCATTCTCCTTACAGCTTTAGGGTGCGAAACGCCCTCACAGGTAAATGCAAAGCTTTCTTCTGCACGCTGGGATCAAGGAAATGAATCCAGCACCTCACGGGCACTTTTTTCCATCATTTCCAAGACCCCAGGTGGGTGTGTCTTCTTTGGGGGACCCCTCCAACGTGGCTTACCGGTTGTCCTTTTGGCTTCCCTTGACAAAACCCACCAAAAAATCGAGTAAACACTCCAAAGAAAAGGACGGGCCTGTTGGTGTGCCAACAGTCAGGTAACCCTTAGCTGGCGGTTTGGGTTGGTAGGGATTTGAACCGCTGGTTCTTGTGGAGGATAAATTGGGGCACCCACCTACCCAAAGAACGAGCTAGAGAAACGCTGAGATGCGCACCCCCAAGACACTTGCGCGTCTTTTTTCGGCCTATTGGATCAAACCAGGTAATTATCGCCTACTCCCAAGAGACCCTCTCAATGATGGGCATGTTGAGCCCTGACTAGTAGTACTTCGCTGTTCTTGGCATGTTTTTTTTTTTGGTTTTTAGTTTTTTGGTTCTGTTCATTTTTACTGGGGGTCCGCAAAAAACACGGTTTTTTGCTACCAAGAGTAGAGATGGTAGGGTATCCCTTGGATGCAACGCGAAAGCCTCCGGTTTCCTCGAGGCCACGGGCGTCTGGGCTTCTTCTCGTTCGCCCTGGGCGCCGCCAAGCCGGGCCGCCGAGACCTTCGAGACGTCGGAGCATCTGTTTTGGCCGGTCCGTTGGAGTGGTAAGACTCGACGTCAGACGGGCCACGGCGTTTTTGTTTTTTTGGCAGCGGATCTTTGAATCTTTGGCTTTTGGAGTCAGGGTTTTTATGGCGATGGGCCACAACAAGAGTTTTGACCACTCATATGGGAGTTTCAACCAGAAATTTTGGCGGAACTTCTGTGATACCCAAAACCCTTCGCCCTTGTGGAAGAAGTTTTGTCATTAAGGTATTCCGTTGGGATCACAATGGTTGCAATTCCCATCCCGACTCGGGCAATCTCGATGGTCTGGTGAGCTTAATACCTTCCGACAGACACAGACTCTCTCAACTCTACTTTTCCTGGACAGGAGGCCTTTGCAATTCCTTGTTGGGCTACCTGGACCTTCAAGCTTCCCTTTGACATGGAAATCTACTCAGAATGTTGGGGCAGTATCTCGGCAGTTTGTACCTCTACTTAGAAAGTGACCCTGCTTAGGTCAATTAGAGTTTCACTGCGGGTGACTGACCATGTCGCCCATGTCGCTGAATCCGGAATCATCTACGAATGGCTCGGTAAGGACCAGTTGCAGATCCAAGCCGTCGCGGCTTAGGTATGTTTGGGGTTGGTCTGTCATGTTGGTTCTGTTTCTGGGGGTTGAAGTCCGCGGGGAATATTCCTTTGACATAGCGCCTTGAGAAGGTGGTTTTGATGGTAAACAAGCTGGTTTAAAGGGAAAGAAGGACCCACCGTCCCATTGAGAGGAACCGATATGATGTCGATAATAGCAGCTGCAAGCACTGTGGCCTCTGCATATCATGTGCTCCAATAGGAATCTCATTGCGCAACGTCGCGCGCAAACCCCGGGGGCGGGGGAAGGGCTGTCGGGAATCGGAGTTGAACCAGATTTGTGCGACCAGGAAACCGTTACCCCTTAAGGGCGGACATCACCATTCACAAGGCCTGCCAGTATCACAGTCGCGATTTCATTTCAACCCCCAGACCGCCGACATGTCGCTCCAAGTCGCTGTATCTGGTTAACTACCTGGACTTTCAAACTTCCCTTTGACATGGGAATCTCCTCAGAACAGGGTTCCACTTTTTGACTACCCCCACAATGACTTAAACCCAGGAGCGGGTCATGTACCCCGAAAAGGGACCCCCTGGGTTTAAGTCTATTTGCAGGTCAAAAAATAGAACGACTCAGAATGTTAAAGCAATCTCCCGGCAGTTTGTACCCGTCCTCTTTTCGTTTTCTTTTTTTGCTTATTGTGGTTTAGTGGTTGAAACTCCAACCACTTAACCGCTAAAATCCGAATTTTTGCTTCCCACGTCAATTGGAAGACTCGTTGCCTTCGTCAGCTTTTCATTTCGTCCCGGGTCCCGAGGTCGGGCCCGGCAGCTGGCGTCACCCTCCCGGCCGGGGCTCTCGATGGCTCGATGGCTCGAAGGGGTGGGTCACACCAAAGGTGCAGTGGATCCGAAGTGCGCAGCAAAAAACACGTGGGGAGAACCACGAAAATAGTGAGATGCCAATGGTTCCATTGGAAAAAAAGAAGAAGAAGAAGAAGAAGAAGAAGAAGAAGAAGAAGCAAAAACGGTGAGAACTCAGGAGACAAACATCTGGTTCCTTTTTCGGGGTCTTGCCACGCGATTGGTTTCCTTTGGGACCGAACATTTCGGCCTTTTCGATCGGGGATGCGAGCAATAGACACAGCATCTGTTCTCGAAGCTGGAGAATGGGAAACCCCGCCGATGAGACTGACCGCCTGGCCCCATCCGATTACCAAAGTTATCCCCATGAGCCATCATAGGTTCAAGGAACCCTTCCCCTCAGCAAAGCAGAGACAAAAGAATGACCCCCAGTCAGCATATCTCAAACCGGGGCCGCCCGATTTCGGTAGGGGAAAGCGTCGCCCAGACCTCCAGTTGTTGGTTGCCTCTTTGGGACCTTGACACCTCCACCCCCCAAAATGCGGCGGCAGTGCGATTTGTGTCTTGAAGTCCAGTCTTGGAATTCTTGGGATCAGCCCTGCAAGGGCTGAAGTGGCTTCCTTGCGCCTTTGCGCTTGGTAGTGAGGGAAGGATGCATCGATACTCAGAGCTGGCTCACGGGAGTTGCAGCGCCCAGTTGCGTTGACTCTGGAAGATGTGGAACCTTTGAATTGGAGGCATGAGGGCGAAGAAAGGATTTGTATTTCCATGTGGATGCAACAGACCCAAAGATGCTCGTGTATTTGGAGCAGGGGCCCTCTGCCGGCCTCGTCGATTTGCCGGCTCAGGTGATCTGCAACGCGCAGTTGGGCTCTGCCTTGTCCTTGAGGCACAGCGGGGGTCGGTTCTGAGATTCTTGTTGTTCGGTGGTGCAAACAAAGGTTCATGAAACATGGTTTGCCAGAATCCAAGCAGCCAACCACCCGTTCAATCAGCAACCAACCGCCTGTTCAATATACAAAGCAACCAACCAACCCACCAACCCACCAACCCACCAACCCATCGACCCATCAACCAACCAACCAACCAACCCACCCACCCACCCACCCACCCACCCACCCACCCACCCACCCACCCACCCACCCACCCACCCACCCACCCACCCACCCACCCACCCACCCACCCACCCACCCACCCACCCACCCACCCCCACCCACCCACCCACCCACCCACCCACCCACCCACCCACCCACCCACCCACCCACCCACCCACCCACCCACCCACCCACCCACCCACCCACCCACCCACCCACCCACCCACCCACCCACCCACCCACCCACCCACTAACCAGCCCAGGCACTCACACACCTGCCGACCAACCCACCCACACACACACACACAAACCCACCCACACACCCACCCACCAACTCACCCACCAACTCACCCACCACGCACCCACCAACTCACCCACCCAGCAACCCAACCCAACCAAACCCCAAGCCAAGCCAACCCAACCCAACAACTCACCCAACCACCCAACCAACCAACCGAACAACCAACCACCCAACCACCCACCCAACCACCCAACCACCCAACCACCCAACCACCCAACCACCCAACCACCCAACCACCCAACCAACCAACCAACCAACCAACCAACCAACCAACCAACCAACCAACCAACCAACCAACCAACCAACCAACCAACCAGCCACTCAACCAACCACCCAGCCAACCCACCACCCAACCAACCAACCACCCAACCAACCAACCAATCACCCACCCACCCAACCAACCAACCAAGCACCCAACCAACTAACCAACCAACCAACAAACCAACCCACTAACCAACCAACCAACCAACCAACCAACCAACCAACCAACCAACCAACCAACCAACCAACCAACCAACCAACCACCCAACCAACCAACAAACCAACCAACCAACCAACCAACCAACCAACCAACCAACCACCCAACCAACCAACAAACCAACCAACCAACCAACCAACCAACCACCCAACTAAGCACTCAACCAGCCACCCACCCAATCAACAACCCAACCAACCACCCAACCAACCAAACCACCCAACCAACCAACCAATCAACCACCCAGCCAATCAACCACCCAACCAACCACTCAACCAACCAAACCAACCAAACCAACCAACCAACCACCCAACCAACCACCCAACCAACCAAACCACCCAACCAACCAACCAATCAACCACCCAGCCAATCAACCACCCAACCAACCACTCAACCAACCAAACCAACCAAACCAACCAACCAACCAACCAACCAACCAACCACCCAGCCAACAACCAACCGCCCAACTAACCACCCACCCACCCACCCAACCAACCAACCACCCAACCAAACACCCACCCAACCAACCAACCAACCAACCAACCAACCAACCAACCAACCAACCAACCAACCAACCAACCAACCAACCAACCAACCAACCAACCAACCAACCAACCAACCAACCAACCAACCAACCAACCAACCAACCAACCGCCCAACCGCCCAACTAACCACCCACCCAACCAACCAACCACCCAACCAATCACCCTCACCAACTAACCAACCAACCACCCAAGCAACCACCCAACCAACCACCCAGCCAATCATCTTATTCCTTTCATTTTGTTTGTTTTGCCCTGGTCGATTTGTTTCTTCGCTGCCGCGCCAGGAGCTCCGCTCGCCTCAGCCCGGCAGTGTTGGCTTCCGGCTTCACCCAAACGGGCCTCGCCACGTTCCTTCGCAGCTGTCGGAGCCTCGGAGGGAGCGCCTGGCACCGAGCGCCGGCGATGGCCGTTCAGACCCCATGGCCGTTAAAGCCCCATGGCCCCATGGGCTCACAGGGGAAAAAGAGGGCGAGCTATTTCCCTGCTGATTTGAAACGTGGCGCCGCTTTGTTTGCAAGTTCGAAGCGATTGAAGCTTCCTTTTTGGGTGATGCGGACAAAGGGGAAATGTAGGGAACCCTTAAGGAAAGCAACAGCGGGTTGCTTGGTTTGAGTGGAGTTGGTTGAACCCTCTTTTTGAGGGGGCAGGGGTGGCTGTTTGTCGCGAAAGAGGAACCTCTGGGTTTAACTCTGCCCATACTGAACAAGTGGAGCCCAAGGAGGCCCGGCAAGCTAACAATTTGTTGGAACAGGTGGTTTGGTTTGTTTGATCTCAGTGGATTTGTGGATTGGTGGGGTTCAGTGGATTTTTGGTTTGTTTGGTTTGTTGGATTGTTCAGTGGATTTCAGCGTTTCTCTTTTTTGGTGGGGTCCCCGCTAGCCAAAATCGAAGAGACCTAAATCCGTTTTGGTTTGGTGGGTTCGGGGCCCACTACACCGGGAATTGATCCCAAGGGTTTTCGGTGGGAGGAACCCGCCTGTTTCACTTTTTGGCTTTTGGTTTTCCTTTGATTTACATTCCAAGGTATTGATTTGTTGGGTTCGGGACCAATGGTCCTTAACCCAGTCCCTTCTCTGCCTGGGGAACAACAGGTCGAAAGGAAAGAAACGGACTTGACGCTGGATAATCAAGGGTTGTTTCCCAGAGTACAAGATAGAACCTCCCCGGCATGCCGCATGCTTTGTGATTGACTTGCCATCTTTGAGGAAGCCGCCGGATTGCTCGGGATTTTCTTCGGGTCTTTGATGTGTTTCTGCCACCCAAAGATAACCTCCAGCAGCAAAAATCCCGTGGCCCTGGTCTGAAAGTCGTGAATCCCCATGTCTCAGTGTCTCAGGCAAGCGTTTAGACAGCACTCTGTCCATGCTCGGCAGGCTGGGCTCGAGAGAGATAGTGAGTGGAACCGGAAAACTTGCCCGAAGGTTCCAACATGTCCAAAAGGCCTTGCCTCAAAAGCTCCCCTCCGCCAAAAAAGAAGAACAACAACTTGCCCAAAGGTGACGTAGCTGTGCGTGACAAGGCATATGAGGGGCTAAACAAATACGCCGACACACACACACACACTTTGCCGCTTATGCTCATTTAGTTCTAAAGTACAACACAACCCCATTCTAATGTCTTAAGGCCCTCATTGCATGTTTTGTGGGCAGAACTACTAGCTGGATCAATCCGTACCATGCATGACCAACGTGGTTCCCCTCAGCGTTACGTTAGGTATTCCGTTCATTCGTGCTTTCCTCCGCATTCTCAAGTTGGCACATTGGGGAGCTCATGAGCAGCTGACAATTTTACCACAAATCAACACACTCGCGGGTTTTTGTCCCACGCGCCAGCCACGCTTAGATCACGTGCTTGCTGAACCCGGATTATCCCCCCAACATAAGTTCTATGTAGGATAATTTCTTGGCTTCTTGGCTTCTTGGTTTTGATTCCCCCCAAATTGTTGGGTCCTCAACATTCAGGTGGTTGCAAAACTATAGCCTCTTGATTTGAAGTGAGAGTTTTGACTTGCGGGGGATGTTGAGAAGGTAAAGCTGGAAGTGGAAAATATTGAGAGCACCAGTGACTTCGTTTTTCCAGGTGGTTTTGGAGATGTTTCAAGGTGTGAATATGGTTCAAGCTTGTCTGACACCGATCTCTTGAGACGGAGCCAGGGGCCGCCTTGGGTCCTTGTTGTTCGCCGGGGGCCCAGAGGATTTCTGGGGCGCTCCTTTGATTTGCTGCATGGGTCTAAGTCTTCTATGGGTCATGGCTGTTGTTGGGAAACATTGGACACATGTTGGGTTTGTTGTGGTTTAGTGGTTTAAATCCAAATGCACTTAACTGCCCCAAAACATGATTTTTTGCTCCCTTCCAACGTCAACCAAGATCACCGCTTGGTTCAGTGTTTGCCGCCTTGTTGCTGCTCGTTGGTTGATGGGCAAAGACATCTTGGGGGCGCCCTTCACGAAAGGGAAGGACTCGCCGCGGCTGAGTTTTGGCGCTGTCTCCGTCCTGCATTCACCGAGCTTCGCTTCATCCTTTTCGAGGTTCCCCAGGTGGCACCCTTTTGTTTGGGTTCGGGACCTACAACGAAATGCCATTTGTTTCAGGCTATCATGTGAACCGCTGATTACAGGAGGCCAAACACTTGGTTTCTTACGTGTATATATATATATATAGACCTTGGAGTCGGCATTTGGAGGTGCGATCCTTTTTTTTGCCGCCGATCAGCTTGGGTCGCAAACTCCGAGGCCTTTGACTACGCCACGCTGGGCCCCACTTTGTCGCTCCGATCCTTCGCACGGCTCGGCAGCAGCGGTGGCCTCAGCTGCGGCTTGGGTTTGTTGGGTTTTGGCGCTTTGCCCGAAGAATCAGACAGGACCCTTCATTGGGGGCAAGGGATCTCCATTGGACTGGAAAGATTTGTCTCTTTTCACTTGCGATCGGTGCGATAGGAAATGAGACATGGAATTTCTCTGTAAACCAGCCCCTATGGTTTTCTTCAAGGTATCCTTCCCCAACCCAGCTCAAAGCGCGGCCTGGTAAGAGCAGCTCGACTCATGTGTCTAAGCAATGGGCCGGGTGAAACAACTTCCCCAAGGCTAGTTCTTGAGAAGCTGTCCGAAAAGGATCCTTGAGAGTGGAGCAGGGTGCTTGGGTCTTTGGCTGGTTTCGCGGTTAAAGGCCGCGGTTACGATCCACTTTTCTGTTCCCTGAGGAGTTGCCCGTGCTAGGGCACTCCACCAGGAGCCAATCACAGCTCGCCTGGCAACGAACACCTAAGTACTTTGCAAGTTTACACCCAAAGGGGCTCTGAAAGGAGGTTCCTCCAACAACGACGCTTTTGAAGTGCCATTTGAATCAAGCAAAGGAGTCGGGCCGTTGTTTGTCTTTTCGGCTTGGGCGGTGTGCGCAGTTTCGGCTTGGTTTTCGGGAAGGAGCCAAAGCCAGGGGTCCGACAGAGCGCCGCAGGCCTGTCGTGCGCCAGCACACTTTTGGCACCCAACACCGTCCGCTTCACCTCCAACACGTGCCCTTCGCCGCTGCGCGCGCGTTTTTTTCTTTTCTCCGAGCGGGCGCGCGCGTTTCGGGCGGGCTTGCGGGAGACGGAAGCTTTTCTGCCGACGTGATCACGACTCAAATGGGCATGGGCCAAAATTAAGCGCCAGGGGACCGCAGGTTTTAGTCCCTGGTTCCATTTACAAGGGTTTCACTTTGGGTGCCTAGTTTTGACCCACATCAAAATTGATGTTCTTTGAATTCCTTTTAGGTTTCTTTGAGCTGTCGGTCAAGGATCATCCGTTTGAGGCTCCGCAAGAGCGGTCGGCCAACAAACCTGCACCGCGGCATGGCTCGCCAGCGACCCCCGGTTGACGTGCACGGTGCTGCTTCTTGGATCCAAGATCTTGGTTGCCCTCCTCCGTATGTTGTCCTTACTTTGGCTAGCTGCTGGCGGGAAGGGAGCCCAGGAGCTAGGGTAAGTATCCCAATTTGCTTTGAATAGGGAGCTAGGGAGCTACCAGGACTACCAGGACTACCAGGACTAGCAGGACTTCTGGAGGTGCTTGTTTGAGGTACCCTTAGGGTTTGCTTCCATGTCCACTCCGTTGGCTCTGAACTTTCCTAGGGAACCGGCTCCAAAAGTGGGGGGACGGTGGATACTTTGCCCCCAAGGAAGCCCAGCAAAGGGTCCAGGACCCATTGAACTGAGCACCAGGACCTGGGTTGGGCAGGGCACCAAGTTGTCATGTCCTTGGTAAGAACAGCCGACAGGACACCTCGCAATCTTTTTTGGGGTGGCCCCATTTAGAATGGCGAGCCATTCTTTGGGCTGCAGAAAGGACGCTTTCTGTACCCGAATCTCCTTCGGGACCTGCATCATCTCAGAGCCACACCATGGCCTTTCTGTCTTTCTTTCTTTCTTTCTTTCTTTCTTTATTTATTTATTTATTTCTTCTTTTTGTTTCTTTCTGTCTTCCTCTGGCAGCGCAGCAATCGTAAAAGCTTCAGGCTCGGTTGTTACTTGAGCCCGTGAAAATGGCTTAAACGGCGGCGGGGCAGACCATTGGGCCTCGGCAGACGGGAGGCCCCCCAGTCCCCAGACCTTGGGCGTGCCAGGTACATGTACTACGACAGCGCCACACCCCTCTTGCATTGGTACATGAACGGGGCGCAGGCAGATGTTTCGGATCGCGGCATTGAGCCGAGTTTGTCCTTGGTCGAGTCACGGGTTTTCGGGGTATGCAGATGGGTCTGTCTTTTTTTGTTTGTTTTCCGTATCTCTTGGGTACCTTTTAGGGGTTGGTTTGAAGGGAAACCAAAGGGTTAGCAGCCACTTTGTTATGGAGTCCCTAGGGGGGGATTTTCTAAGGCTCCCGAAGGAACCCGAAGGGACCCGAAACGTCTCAGCTGCCCAGCCTACCCGGAGACTGGGAGTCCATGCCTCAATATTTTACAGGCCCGCTGTTGATGGTGCTTGGATGATGAGGACGTCTTCCTTTCCACATCCTTTTCCCGGTTGGGAGATCTTCAATGGATGCCAACACCTATCAAACTTGAATGCAGGATCGACTTGCTTTAACTCAAGCTTTTGTAGTTGCTGTTGCAGCGACAGCAAGAATGCTCATATCGCAAGTTGCATTGCCTTGCGATAGTGGATAACGAGTCGCCTATGACGCGCGGGTTCCTTTTGTGAGGGATTCATATACGATTCCAGATGGGAATACACGATGGTATCAGAAAGGAAGAGGGCTCTCGGTCAACCCTTTGGGTTTTGGAGGTTGCCGGCACCAGCCCTTTGCCACAAGTGCGGGTCAATGTCCTGAAGTTTTATTCACCTGCCGGTTTTGCAGGGGTGTCCCCCAACAAAAGGTGAAGGATTTGCCGTGGGCCGCCCCAATGAGTTGGATTTATGAAGGGGTTGTTGGGCCGAAGCTACCAAGAGGAGAATTGGAAAGCAACATGCGAAGGAAGCTTTGAAGGTTCTATTTCCGAGAGACCTTGTGATGTCGGACGCTATAAGTTCCCTGACCAGTGTGTAGAAGAAAACCACTGGAAGGAAGCGGCAGGGTTTCGGGGAAGTCAATTTCCGGCAGGTCATGTCCATGAGCAACACTGGCGGTCAGCTGCATGGTACCTGGACGGAATCCGGGACCTGGCGGGAGCCTCAAACCGCCTCAGGGGACGAGTCGCGCGCGCGCGCGCGTGCGTGTGTGTGGTGTGTGTGTGTGTGTGGTGTGTGTGTGTGTGTTGTGTGTGGTGCGTGTGTTTGTGTTTGAGTGTGTGTGTGTGTTTGTTGGTTGATCTAAGAACCACTGCCTATGTGACTTTCATTTAAGGGCTTTACCCTTAAATATTGGGGGGATTTCATTTGGGCCTACTCCCAAATTTCAGGGCAGGCTGTGCGACTGTACTATAGGGTTTTGCCCGCCATTTGAGAAAACGTGCAGCTTAAACATTGTTTTCTTTTAGGTGATAATATGTTCAAGTTGAATATGTATATACTGTATGTGTGTATGTATATATATATATTATACATATTGCACATGATATATATATATATATAGTTATATAGCATGGTTTGAGCGGCATCTCAAGCAAATGAACAACACCGAGTTGGCGATAGATACCCTACCACCAACTAAAGTGGAACCCACAAAAGTGTCTTTTTAAGGCATGGTTGCGGAACATTGGGTTCAGGGCCACTTTCTATGATATGAAGGGAACCCCTTCAAAGTGATAAAGTAGTCTTTCGCAACCATGCTGGTGGAAAAGTTGATCTTTGAGGGACCCTTTCCAAGATTAATCAACACCTTGATTGGGGTGGGTTCTACTATTGGATTTGGACCACTTTTGGGGACCACACCCATAAAAGCAGACGCCAAGGCGTTTCGAAACAGAAGAAGGAGCCCGCTTTTTGGTCATGGTCTCCTTTCAAAAGGCCATTCCTTGTCATTATGCTGGGGCTTGACCCCCGTTTCCCCGGCCCCGCAAACTGTCAAAGCTTTCCTTCAATGACCTCTGGGCTATTGGGAAACTTGAGTCTCAGCCCATGGCAGGCTGGGAGGGTAGATCGCATCCAGTTTTTCCCCCAGATCCAAACAAACCAACCGTGGGGGAGATTCCAGTTTTTGCAAGGCCCCATCCAGGTCAGCGATGTTCCGATGGATCCCACCCCCGCTGGATCCCAACCCCCGCCACGATCTCGCGCCAACCTGCCACGACAACGCCCACGACCGTCTCGCGACCGTCCCGCGTCCCGCCTGCACCGCGTCCCGCGTCCCAGGGTGACCTCTGACCGCCGACTGAAGAAGGACGTCAAGCCCCTCACACGGACCTTGCGGGACTTCCTGAAGCCCCAGGCGGGGGGAAATTTCGGTTTGCCCCTCAAGGAGGGATTCTTTTTTTTTTTTGTGGGGGGGGGGAGTCAAAAGCAAGGCCTTGCGCTTTGCAAGTTCTGAGCAAGGCCTGTGGCAGCTATTTGGCACTGCCTGGTTGTGTTTGTGGTTCGGTGGCTCCCATGGCAAGTGTTGAAAAAGGACGACGCTCTTACAACACCTCAAGAGTTCACTTGAACCCACTCTTTTGGAAACAAAGGCCCCCCACAGCAAAACTCAAAAGGGCTCTTACATTGTGTGTTCCTTTCGATGTTGCATTCTCTCATTATTTCTCTCTCTCTCTCTCTCTCTCTCTCTCTCTACTGCTCAGGTTATCCATGAACCAAAGTGGAAACCAGGCTTTAAGGTGGTTTTTGATTTCACGTTCACTTGCTAAGCACCCTCATCCTCTGAATCCGCCGCGCAGGCGGAGGGCAGTTGGCCGGGGAAGTTTGCAGAAGCGTTAGGGGGATTTGTGGAAGGGCGAGTTTTCGCTTGAGTTGGTCCTTGCTCCTCACCGACCAAGCCATGCACCCTACTTTCCGGTATGGCCATCTTAGTGAGCAACAAGCAGTTTTACACTCGGGAAGTGAGCCTTTGCCTGTTAGGTGAAACAGTTGAAGATTGATTCCTAAAGGGAATAGAAGGCGCCACTCGCAGTGAACCATGGCGAACGTGTTCAACCAGAGGAGTGTTCCCCGTCACTGGTGGCAACTGGGGGGTAAGATATTTGCAAAGTTCATCCACAGCTTCTTCTCAGGACAAGGTTCCTGAACGGAAAGTCGCCTGTGAAAACTTGGCGGCTCCCAGCCTCCCAGCCATCCGGTCCCTTAGCTTGTTGGGTTGTTGGTTTAGTGGTAGTTTCCGTGTAAACCGCGTCACTTTAGTGGTTTAGTGGTTTAGGTTGTTGGTTTAGTGGTAGTTTCTCGTGTATAGCGCACAAGTTCGTCACTTTTGGCAGTGGATCTGACAACGGGCAGCCCGAAAACCCGTGAGTCAGCTGGATTCGCCGCAGGTCGAAGAGGCTGAGAGCACCCAGATGGCACTCCAAGCGAGCACCCAGGTGCCACTGGGCTCAGGGCGAGCCTGTCGGAACGTCAGGGAAGTGGTGAGTCACTTCATGGGAACCCCCGGATGAATTGAATAAACTATTTTGTTTTTGGTGGGGGGTGTCCCCTTTGAGCTGGGAGTCCTCACTTTTGGGGGGAAGACCCCCTGTTTATAGGACGGCTGTTTCAACAAGTTGAAACAAGGGGCTGGCCCCACAGTTGGTCGCTTCTATGATATTTTGGGGCACCACCCTTTGAAAACCCACACAAAGTGGCTGGTTGCCTACGGTGAGTTGCCAAGACTGTTTGGGCGAAGCAACTACTTTTCCACTTTGGGGGAATACTGAACTCGACTAAAGGTGAGAGAACTGCTTGAGCTTCTATGTTGAAGAGTTTTTGGCGATCAGACACGGTTGGAACAACCAAACAGGGGAGGTGCAGTTCCTTTTTCCGGCAGGAGAAGAAGGGTGAAGATGCAGGAGCGCTTTGGGTGCTCAGGCGTGATGCTGAACAAATTGGGAGGATTCAATCCGCAAGACTCTCAGGCAATGTCGTGCAATGTCCAAGTCCTTCGCGGATATGGTTTGGTCCATATAAAAACAAGTGCGTTTGGAATTTGACTTCAGGTTGGTGAATTACGACTTACTCCCCAGGGAAGCTTCACTTGGTTACCCCAAAAGGAGTTTCCTCTAACCACGGAATGGTTTTTGGTTTCCATGTGAATGGCGACCCCGGATCAATACACCCGCCGCCCTCAAGGACAGAAGGTTTGGTCCGCCACTTTTTTGAGGCTCAGCCTTCCCATAATGCAGAGGGGTACCGTTTTTGAGCAGGTCATGGTAGGGGTGTGGTTCGGTGAGCATAATTTGTTTTGTTTTATTGTTTACCAACCAAAAAGATAAAACTAAAAGAAGAACAGACACACAGAAAAACAGGGTGCAGAAGGTCCTAAAATAACATCTGCAGGGGAGTCTGAGGATCGATCTGGCAACTGTCCACTCGCCCTGGAAGGTCTGACCCACTTTCCAGGGTAGAGGTTCCGGGGGAGTTCGTGCACAGGTGTATCAACCACCCAAGCAAGGCCTCCGTCTCAAACGACTCTACGCGCATATTTGAGCGGTACATTCCCCTCAAAAATGTATATATATATATATAGACACCAGTGTATACCCGTTGCGATCCCGGCACCGTAGTATAGAGCCATGCTTCATTTGTGAACAAACTAGAACAAGCTCGAAAGGGAGAATCGATCTCCATGAAGACGCTTCCTTTTGTGGAACTCCCTGAAGTCCAACCTTTTCGTTGGTGAAAGTATTCGCTCGCACATTCGGCCCCCTGCTTACTTTCTAGCGAGCTCACTGATTCGTGTGTATCCCGACCTCACCATGATAAAGCGGATAAGGGTCCTTCACTTGAGGAGCCAACTCTTCATTCAGCATGTGGAATTCGCGTAAAAAAGCATCTCGAATTGTGGAGTGCAGCTACCTGCGCCGAAATGCGCCGAAATCGGCGCATTCGAGTCTCTCAGCCAGGCAGCTGCGGCCTGTGTCCTACTACTTCAAGAAGGGCAGCGAGTCCAAGTACATGCGCTTCGGCTTCATCGGTCCGGGGGCCCGGCGAAGGTGAGATTCACTCGGCGCACGGATTCCGACCGCGGAAGGGCCGGGTTTTTTGCCGGCGAAACCTCCCCGAGAAGACCAGGAGAAGCGCGGCGGCTTTTTTGGTCCGGGGAAGGGTGGAAGCGGCAAATTCCAATTGCCAGCCAGGTTTCTCTTCTTGGATCACACGAACCATTGAGTTGATGTTGGAGCCTAGGGGGCGTGTCAGGGAAAAAACCAGTTTTGGATGGTGATTGATTCAATGATGCAAAAGCCAAGAGAAAGACCTATCATTGGGCTGCCCAATTTCCAGACCCCAAGCATACCCAATGCAGAAGTCCAGACCCTTCTTGCGCACAACTGTCGAACTGGATGGTCAAAAGACCCCTTTTCCTGGGATTCTTTTGCCACTTCATGTAGGAGGCAACCCAAAAATCCCGAACCCACCTGTACCCAAACCAAAGATGGATCGAAGCGCAGAGGATTGCCTGGGATCCACTGAGATGGGTATCGATGGATGCAAGTTGTGGATGCAAAATGCATAGAGTGCCGCTGCTCTTGGGAGTTCCACTCTTATATGGCCATGGGTCAAAACCAATGGGATCCCATTTTGGGGTAGGTGCACCACCCATTTTAGAACCTATGTTAGTGGGGATTGGGATGGGGGGTACGAGCTTTTTGGCTTTTGACAACCACAGCCATATTGATTTCTTTCCACCCGGAATCCTAGCGAAATAGAAATTCACGAGTGGAATTTGGAATTCATGGAATTGAACCCCTTTGGGGCCGTGGGGGTTTCAACTTACCTCCGCCTGCGCCAGCCGACGAGCTCGAGTCCGTGGTGCCGCAAGTGGTGCGGCACAAGCGCCCGGCGCTGAGTTCAAAAAGCCGTCTTCGAGCCATTGGCTGCGGAAAACCATGGGAGAACCTTGCAGAATCCATGGTTCTTGGGCAACATTGGAAGCATGTTTGCTTATTGTGGTTTAGTGGGAGAACCCCAGTTAACTGCGAACATCTATTTTTCTGCTCCCCTTCCAACGTCAACCAAGAATCACCTGGCACCCCGCAAGCCACACATTTCACCCCCAGACTAACATGGAAGCTCCCAGGACCCCTTTGGAAGACTGAGTGAGGGAGTGTAGGTCCGGCATCTCCTTTTGGGAGACACATTTTTCGGGCTCCCTGCTAATCTGCAGGGGAGCAACAAAGGAAGGAGGTCACTGACCAAACCATTTGATAGCCTGGCCGTGCATATTCACATTCTCGGCATGTTCGATTTGGCGAGTCCAGGCGGCACAGACTACTCGGACGAGAAAGCTGTGGCCTACACGGACAGACGAATGGGCTGCACAAAGTACACTTCACCGACAAAGTTAGGAATGCAAACAAGCGAACAAACCAACAAACGAACAAACAAACAAACGAACAAACGAGAAACATACAAATCAACCAAGGTGTGCCGAGAGTGCAAGTACCCTTGGAGTTTTTTTTTTTTTTTTGCGGGGTCAGAACGACAAAGTTGTCGTGGGCATGGGACTCCCACTTTGGGTATCACACAACATGTCGGGTCTTTGGTGTGACCCCAAATGCCCCTTAGGCCTCCTTGGACACCAAGCTTATTTTATTCTTTCTTTTTTTTTAATGAAACCTACACCAGGGTGATCGACCTTGTGGTCAAACCATCGCGATATGTCACTTCCAAATGTGGCTGATGTCCTGGGGTGATGTAACTCTGGGGGACGAAGAGGTCAAAGGAGCCATTTCACCACGGCAGGATCTCATTGCCCTGCTCACCTCCGCTGCTCAAGGCGGGCCTGGTTGGTGTTTGAGGCCGCTTCCAGGAGTTTTGATAGGGGAACCCGAAGTGAAGTTGGTGCACATGTTTTTTTTGGCCAACCAGGTCCGCCAAAGGCTTCGGGAATTCATACCAGCTGAAGGAGGAATCGCCGTCTTTGTGTTGCCGTGGTCATGCCACGTTTTCCCTTTTCTCATTCTCATGTTCCAACGCCCTTGGGCGGAAGCAAGCGATTTGGTCCAGGGCTCGTGTTTTTTTTGTTTTTTTTTCCTTTTCCGTTTGTTCCCCGGAGGGTACCCTTTGAGCGCCCTGAAAGAGTGGGCGTAGGCTGAAAGAGTGGTGATCATGGTTGTTGTTGGGAAACATGTTACATTTTTGCTTATTGTGGTTTGGCGGGACATCCACTCTTTTCTGCTCTTTTTTAGATTGTTGCTCCCCTTCCAACGTCAACGTAATGTTCAGTTGGATCATCCCAGAACCCTGTTGCAGGTAGGCCTCTCTCCACACACACACTCACTCACTCACACACACACACACACACACACACACACACACACACACACACACACACACACACACACACACACACACACACACACACACACACACACACACACACACACACACACACACACACACACACACACACACACACACACACACACACACACACACACAACACACACACACACACACACACACACACACACACACACACACACACACACACACACACACACACACACACACACACACACACACACACACACACACACACACACACACACACACACACACACACACACACACACACACACACACACACACACACACACACACACACACACACACACACACACACACACACACACACACACACACACACACACACACACACACACACACACACACACACACACACACACACACACACACACACACACACACACACACACACACACACACACACACACACACACACACACACACACACACACACACACACACACACACACACACACACACACACACACACACACACACACACACACACACACACACACACACACACACACACACACACACACACACACACACACACACACACACACACACACACACACACACACACACACACACACACACACACACACACACACACACACACACACACACACACACACACACACACACACACACACACACACACACACACACACACACACACACACACACACACACACACACACACACACACACACACACACACACACACACACACACACACACACACACACACACACACACACACACACACACACACACACACACACACACACACACACACACCACACACACACACACACACACACACACACACACACACACACACACACACACACACACACACACACACACACACACACACACACACACACACACACACACACACCACACACACCACACACACCACACACACCACACACACACACACACACACACACACACACACACACACACACACACACACACACACACACACACACACACACACACACACACACACACACACACACACACACACACACACACACACACACACACCACACACCCTGCAACCACGGTGTCTGTGTAAGGTAGGGTGTTGGGGCCATTTTTCTGTGAAACCAAGTGATAAAGTGGCGTCAAGGGCACGGGAATCGACTGTTTGGTCTCACTTGGGGTGACTTGTTTCACAACCGGGCCGCCAGGTCAGCAGCAAGTCATCGAACGGCAGCAAGACCGCATGGCCGGAGACCTCAGGCCAAAAGCTGAACATCATCCCCGTTGTGGGAAGGTCGGATCAAGAACCCCACCCCTGGTTGATTGATAGGGAGGGTGTCCCCTTTTAGTGGATGTTCATCACTGTTGGAGGGAACACCCCCTTTGCATAGGACGGGTTTGTTCATTTACATGAAGTCCAAACGGACGATGGCAATAGGGGCAAAGTCACTCGGGCTCTACTTTGGCCTTCGCTTGTAGAGTGTGAGCAACTCCCCCGTGAGAGGCCTCAGTGGTTCTTTTCTGGTGTAGGGAACCCTTTACAAATCAGATACCCTCCCTCCAGCCAACATGGAAGTGCACAGACCCCTGTAGAAAGACTACTTTCCTCTTGGAAAGGGCCTTGTTGCACTTCCATGTTAGCTGGTGGGAGGTTACCAAGAAACGTGGACGTTCTCTTCCCAGAGGTCTGGGGCGCCCAACGTTCCCCCCCACAAGTTGGCCGATGAAGTCGGCTTCCTTGGTAAGAACGGGCCTGCAGGAGTGCTACCCCAATGGAGAAGCTATACCGATTCCTCGGGCCCTTACAAGTGAAGCAGATGATTTGTCTCCTATCCAAGATCACAGTGAGCACCTTCAGGTGCTTTGCTTTCTGGTGAGGTTTGTATCATTATCTTGTAAAGCTGTGTGGGGAAGTGACAAAGTTTCGCCCAATTCAGGGGATGAACTCGAAACAATGCGGTGTTCGCTTCGGGAATTCATTTTGAAAGGGTTCCCGACCCCTCATTTCCTCTTGGCTGGGTTTAAAACATCACCGAACTCGGGGTGTCAAGTTAGCAATTTTTCCCGGTGAAGTTCAAAGGTCCAATTTTATGTTGGACAGACCGAGATTCCATGTGCAGTTTTGTCGTTAGATTCGTTCCATGTCCCCGGCATTTCCAAAGATATTTTCAACCACTACCCACAGTGCAAAGGGTACTGGGTCAACCAGTAGTGCCCTTTTACCCTTTTTTTTGGGGGAGGGTTCCCCTACTAACATGGGTACCCTTTCTAACCTCTCTTCTGGAGGACCTAGGGTATGTAGCCCGTTTTTGCCCCGGTTGGTAGTAGTTCGGGCGTGGACGCCTCGGATTTTTTGGCATCGCCTGAGGACAAGCTGCTGAGTGACTTCGCCCAGCTGAAGACGGAGCTGGTGACCATGAAGCAGGCAGAAATCGGATCTCTTTAGCCGAGCAGAGCCGAGCATGGCGCGGGTTTGGCGGGGGGTGGTCGCGGTTTCAAAGGGGTCCCTAGATGGTACTTTCGCCGCTGTAATTTGGTCCTGAAAACTGGCAGTTTTCGGAGATTACCAAAAAAAGGTCGGTCCTGCTTCTGGCTCGCTACAAGTTCGCATGGACCCCCAGAATCGGCCCCCACGAAAGCATCGACCCCCACAAATGGGATGTGTTGTCCATGTGAATCCTAATCCTGTGGGAGAGTAAGCTTCGTTTTGGGTTGCTTGAATGGACATAGACCGTGGCCAAAAAGGAGGCCTGGCAAGTTTTGGGTTTCAGACATAACAGGCAGTTGGGGGTGCTGGCAGGGGTGGTTTGCTGAACCCTTTTCCCGCCACAGGGTTTACCTTCGACATCCTGCCCCGCTTGGTAAGTTCGACCAGTTCCATGTGAAGAAAGCCACATGAGAGGGGGCTGCTCATGACAAATAGCAAACCAGAAGCCAACAGTTGTGCTTGCGCAGGTTAAAGTGGGTTGCCTCACTACCGGTATGACAATAGTCATGCCATGTCAATCGAACATGTTGCAAAGGTACTTTTTGGCCCCCCAAACTCCCCACCCCCAATGGCCCCAAAACAAAAACAAAAAGCGAAACGCATTCCGCCCCCTGCCCCCACACGCCAAGCTCCAGCCTAAGCCCCCAAACAGGAGGAGATCGAGTCTGAGCCTCCTCGCAAAAGCCTCCGCGGAGAGAAGAAGAAGAAGCCGCCCGGCCGCAGAGACGTGCCGGGGAGTACCTCCGTTTGGTCCCTTTGCTTCCATTTGCTGTTTTTTGTTCCTCTGATTTTAAAGGGAATAAATTTCACTACTGGATTTTTTTTTCAGTGGAAAAAAGCAAATGGAAGTTAAACAGTTAAAGTGAATATGTTCATGGGCTCTGACCACCACTTTAGGCGCGATTTTTCCTTGAACCCCTATTTGGAACGGCGTTAGCTTTGAGATGTCACTTGCCAGTAGTTGATTGGGGTTGTTTCAGAAGCCGGAAGGAACGCCACCTTCTTGGGGTCCAATTCCAACACCAGGGCATCGGTTTTGGGCGGGATTTGAATGGTTTGCAGGTTCATAGATATCGGTTTGGGGTAGTTCCCTACTGGATTTCTGGTGGTTTCGGAAGTTATGGCCAGGAGAAGCGGCAAAGGCAAAGCCAAGGAGAAGCTCGCGACAGTGACTGCCAACACCACCAACACCACCAACGCCACGAACACGCCCGATAGCTCAGACGTGGCGTGAAGACTCACTCTATTTGTGTGTGTGTGTGTTTTGTTTGTTTGCGTGCTGGTCTGATTGATTTTGTTTGTTGTTTTCGTTTGGTTTGGTTTGACTTGGAATGGTGGTTTGGTGGTTTGGTGGTTTGGTGGTTTGGTGGTTTGGTGGTTTGGTGGTTTGGTGGTTTGGTGGTTTGGTGGTTTGGTGGTTTGGTTGTTTGGTTGTTTGGTTGTTTGGTTGTTTGGTTGTTTGGTTGTTTGGTTCGGTTAGTATGGGCTGGTCTTGTTTGTTTGTTTGTTTGTTTGTTTGTTTGTTTGTTTGTTTGTTTGTTTGCTTTGTTTTGTTTTGTTTTGTTTTGCTTGCTTGGTTGCTTGTTTGTTTGTTTGTCTGTCTGTCTGTCTGTTTGTTTGTGCTTTTGTTTGGTGTGTGTGTGTGTGGTTGGTTGTTTTATTTGGAGAAACACATATGTCCTTCTGGCGTGATTTCGAGAGCCGATAGGAACTTTACAGTTCTCGGCATAATTTTGGTTTCTTGGTTCTTTGGACCTGTTCTACTTTTCGGAGGGGGGCTGCAAAGAGCAAGGTTTGCACAAGGTTCCGGCTACCGTAGCATGAACATGTCGAGGTGTTTCAAACCTATGGGCGCCGCTTCCCCGTTGCGCATCCAGTTCTTGCCTTTTTTTTTTCTTCCTGCCATGGGCCCGGCGTCTTTTCTCCCGGTGAAGGCCAAAGTCGTTTGGCAGCGTGGCATCCGGTTCCGGGGGCCTTTGGGATTTTTGCTCGCTGTGGTTGGGGTTCCAAAACTTAAACCATGGCACAGGTGAAACCCACATTTTCGCGAACGGGCATCTAGAAAACGGGCAGCCCGGAGGCATCAAAGTCAGCTGGTTGGTGGTTTCCCCTGACCCCACCGCTGGGGTCAGTTGGTGCCGAAAGTGGGCTTGGCACCGGCCAAGAAAGTCCCCTTTGCAGGTCGGGCAGCGCCTGAAAACTCCGCTGATCCGCCCGGGCGCACAGCGAGCTGAGAAACAGCGTCCTCCTTTTCTGGAGGATGTGAATGACTTGTCTTGACCCTCCTTCTCTTTTTTTTTTTTTTGCCAATATGACTTCTTAAGGGTGGATCATAGCTTGAAGGGAACATAGGCATAGGTGCCATGTCAAAAGTCTCCCTTTAGTTGGTAGGGATATCAGCCTCTTCATTCAACCTCGTCATGTTTTTGTTTTCTTTTTTTTTGTGGGCACCCTTTTTTGGGGTTGGCTTAAAGGGACACCACAAATAGACCCACCATTTTGGGTAGGGGGATCTAGAGGCAACCGTTGTAAGAACAGCCAAAGGAACCATAATGTTCCCAGGATTAATAAGCCCGTCCCATTCCCACTAAAACGGGACACCCCCTGCCAGGGGTGTATTAATCTGGGGTTAACATTTAACCATGACAGGAAGTCGTTTTGACAGTTCGAGCATGGCATGGCTGCATCTGAGGTGTGGATCGCGGATCAGCGGGGCGCAGGCAGTCTGCAGCCGCCACACAGGCGGGGGCAATGGGTTTGGCCTTCTTCGAATTGCTGCAGGACATTTGGCTGTGGGTCAAAACCAATGGTACCATTTTGGGGTAGGTGCACTACCCATTTTAGAACTATTTTAGTGGGGATTGGGATGTTCACGGGGGGTACGAGATTGCGACCCATGGCCAGGTTGTATTTCCCTCATTGGTTTCAAAGGGAATCTCTCACGCATTTTTTTTTTCAGGGGGCAAAAGCGCAAACAAAAGCGTTCGACATGCGAAAAATGAGAACCCGGGCATGTGAAGGCCTCATGTGAGGCCCTTCTGGGAGAATCTAACCATGCAGAGACCATTTCGCACCTGCGGCCGGCCGAAGGTCGCAGCTCGGACAGGGATCATGGCGGGGTATCATTCCCTTGCCCGCACGGATCAAGCAAGATCTTAGGAGTGTGCTTGCGCTCTTCGATACCGGGCTTCCGTCGAGGCTTGATGGTGGTGCGAGCACTTGGCGCGCGGTTTTTGGCACTTGAGGCTTGCGAATGTCGAGCCGGAGCTCTGGGAATGCCAGATGGGCTACGTACTTTATGCCTCGGAGCTGGCTACATCAACCACCCAAGGTCTTGAGACCTTTTGCTGGCCAGGTAGAATTGCCTTAGTCGGGAGAAATCTTGAAAGTGGATGACATGGGCATGAGGCCCGTGAACCGTCGGGGCGTCACCTGAGGGTGCCTGTGCTTTAAGAGGAACGCGAGGTCAAAACACCCTTTTGCTTGGAGTTGGAAGGCGGTCATGGGCCCCTCACAGCCGGAATTTAGGCTGGCGCTGCAAGGATTGCCCGAGCATGACTAACCCACACGGGTCAATTGATATTCGGTCCTGTTGGCCTCCTTTTTTGGTTGCCCAGTGCCTTTGCCAGATTTTAGCCCAGCTTTCACTTTTCCTTCCTTCTCCTCAGAGTCCCTGTTTCTCCCAGCCCCTTGCCAGGTTTAATTCGCCTGGCTTTCACGTTGCCAAAAATTCTCTCCAAGCCCGAACCGGTCTTTTGCAGTCTATTTCCCTCAGCTCCGAAGTCCCCGACCCGCGGCCACGCCTGCGCCAGGGCTCCCACGTGGGTGGTGTTGAGCTGAGGTGGCCGGAGCGCCCAGCGGTTTCGAGCGGATTCTGGGGGAAAGCGTTCGACGAGTCGGATTCGGCGCTGGCATGAGAACAACATGAGCCAGGTGTCCTTTTTGGAGGTTACCCTTTTTGGGATGGTTCAAAAAGGGAAGCCAAATGGGGAAAACCGTCATCTTTTTTTTCCTAGAATAGCCACGGCTCTTGGTTGTGAGGCCTAACCACTGCCTGACGTGGCCTGGCTCTTTGAACTCACGAGCTGTACCTATTTTCTGTCTGAGCAAAGGCCAACAAAGGCGAAATAATGATGCAATGCCAACAAACGCTTGGGATGTTTGGATGGGGCTTTTTGTTTGCTGTTGTTCAGGGTTTGTTGGTTTGGGTTGGTGGTTTGGGGATTTGAACCCTTCTATTTAAAGCCAAGTGGGGAAGGTACCCCCTCATCCAAGCCACCAAACTTGTTGGTGCGATAGGGAATGGCCGTTAAGGGTGTCGTTTGACTGAACCGGTTTTGGTCTGCTTGCCCCAAAGGAAACCATCTCCAAGGTTTCTCTTGGTCATTCCATCTCTCACTCCCCCGAGGATCAAGTTTTCTGCCCCCCAATCCATGTGCAACACAAAACGCCTACCTTTAAAACAACAACTGGGTCAAATGTCCCACAGGTACCCACATTTCCCCCCACATAATTTATCGATTGCTAGATCTTGCTATGTATTCGCCTACCCCCGAATGGGACCAGCAAGAACCACACCAAACCAGCCGCGAGGTGAGGCGCGTCCCTGCGCCGGGCATCCGCCATTCCGAAGGCGTTTCGCGTTTCGTTGTTTGGTTTTGGGGCGGCCGATTTTGGGCGACGAAACGGACGTTCGGCTCGCACTTTCGGTTCGCGGAAATACAACGACTTCAGGGGAATTCGAAACTTTATGGCTACTTGGGAACGGGTCTTGGGACTTGTTTTTGCTTTTTCGGGAGAAAATGGGTCGGATGTTCTTCGAATTCCACAAAAAGTGAATCCTTTCTTGCCAGAGGGGTCAACAGCAGCCAGGAGGGCGTGTTTTTGAGGGTGCCCTTTGTGCCTTGGCTGAAAGGGAAGCCAAAAGGACATAACTTTTGTTTTGGGGGGGGTCCATGTTTTTTTTTTTTTGGGGGGGGGTCCAATCCCTTCTTTGACATATATATATATATACATTGACACCCATGAGAGGCTCTCAGTCCATGATCCGTATGTCGCTCAATTGCAATCAATTTTCACAGGCGCCTATTTTTTCCCCGCGGCTCATCTTCGGCGCCCAATCCGATTGGTTCCAAGATGTGAGCGCACGTTTTTTTTTTTTGCAACAAATGTCACCCCACTGCATGTCTTTTTGGACGCATAGACCAGAGCATGGTTGGAGGAATCCCAGGGTCCTCTCTCTTTCCTTCTCTCTGGAAGGCCCGGTTGAGAAATTGGGGCGGATTTTTCACAATCTGAATATGGGTCGTCAACCCCTGGGTCGTCAACCCCTGGGTCGTCAACCTCAGGCCACCAGGTTTCCAGTAAATACTTTCTGAAGGTTCTGTAGGAGCGGAGCGTTTTGGGGCTGCGTCAAAAGGGACTTCTTTTTTTTAAGATAGAACTGAAGCCAACCGTTTGGCGCGACTTTTTTTGATATGGGCTAAGTTCTGTGTGGTCAACATGGGGTTTGATTTCAAGACACTTCCGAACCTTTTCCCCACGCCCCTCGGGATGCTTGGGGCTTGGGGCACCGGAAGGAGCAGTGGCTTTGCTCATCGGATTGGCGCATTTGGCTCGTCGGATCAGGGAATGGGTCGAGGCTCCTTTCGCCGGGATTGATCCGTCCAGGTGGTTTCCTCCTTGGCGGGCCATTGGTCGGGCGCTAAAAAGGCAAAGAGCAAGAGGGTGAGAGGAGCAAAGGGAAGGAGACCAAGATCAGATCACCCAAGCCAGGTCCCATTAACCATCAACCGGGTTCTGATGGCTTGCAAAGGATAAATCATGTCAATGTTGGCATCCTCGGACCCTGTTGCGAGAACTTTATGTCGGGTTGCCCAACAGGAGAGGGCAAGCAGGCTTCTCGAAGGGGGAGAGGGCAAGGTTCGCTTATTTGATTTCCCCCAAATGGAATTAAACCCCCTCTGTTATGCACTTGTAAAAGGGAACCGCGTTTGCTTTTTAAAATCTTGGCTTCCATGTTGATTTCTGGTGGGTTGTCAAACATTCAGACCCGTTTTGGATCCTTTTCCCCACATAAACCATTTCCCAAACCCCTCAAGTTTTGACAACCCCCCTTCTAAGTGGCGGTTTGGTGGTTCAGGAGGGGCGAATTTCCAACTCGCCCTCTACAAAAGCCAGGGGTTCAAACTCCCAAGCCAGGGACGGGAAGCGAAATGCGCCCGGGTGGAAAAT